ATATAGCCATATAGCTGTTCTCCTGCTGTGCATTTACATACATGCCACACAATTCTTATGTATTTACCCATCTAACACATAAACTTTCTTATTTACATGCTTACCAACCAAATCTCTAACATCACATCAAAAATACTATCATCACTACCTTTTTAAAAGTGAAATAGACCTTTTCTTTCATTAATAGATTTATGACGAATAGGTGTTGTAAGTGTAAATATCAAACTTAGGTGTTAGATATGTAAATACATAAGGATTGTGTGGTATGTAAATAAATTTCCCTTAATTGTCTCGGTTGGCAAGGGCCTTCGAAATTGTTGCCAAGTTCGTGGGTTCGATCCTCTCTTGCTAATGAACTCCTTGTTTGTGGACTGCTAAAAAAAAAAACTCTTCTGTTGTCCTGACTCCATAATTTTTAATGACAGGAGGATCCCAGAGAAAAAGTGTTGGTTCTGCTTGTCAAGCCCTGATGCTGAGGTCCATCTTGTGCTTAGCATCGGGGAAAGTTACTACTGTGCACTAGCCAAAGGTCCCCTTGTTCAAGATCATGTGCTGTTGATACCGATTGAGCACCACCCTAATACTTTAACAACATCGCCGGAGTCGGAGGTAGAACTTGGAAATTATAAAAATGCCCTCAAAGTTTATTTCAAGAACCAGGAAAAAGCAGTTGTGTTCTTTGAGTGGATTTTTCAAAATAGCCCTCACGCTAATCTTCAGGTACGGGATTCTTTTTTAAGTTATTTTGATGGAAATAGTTTTGTAGAATATCTACATCATGCTTTTGATTGTATAGTTTCGGATATGAATGCAATAGTATTAATAATGATAATAATTATAATAACAATAAATAATATATATGTATATAATAATAAACTAATACACACACATGATAATAAACAAATAATAGCATATATACATACATAAGTCATAATAATAATAACTAGTAATAACACGAGTAATGCTGATAATAATAATAATAATAATAATAATAATAATAATAATAATAATAATAATAATAATAATAATAATAATAATAATAATAATAATAATTATAAATATATAATGAACAATAAAAATAATAAAATTAATATGTATATATACGTATATATATATATATGTATAAGCAAATAATAATAATAATAATAAGGACATGTAAATGATACTAAATGGATAATAATATATATGAGCGGTGTAAATAATAACATATAATGATAATAATAATAATAATAACAATAATAGCTAATAATAATAATAATAATAGTAATAATAACAACAATAATGCTAATAATAATAATGACATATAAGTAATAATAATAATAATACTACTAATAATATATGTACATACATAAATAACAATAAAAAGAAAAATAGTGATAATAAATAAAAATAATAAATAACAATCAAAATATATACATATGCATATATACATAAGCAGTATTAACGATAACAATAATAATAATAGAATACATATACAATAATATTTAACTAAAATAATAATGATAATAATAATAATAAATAAACGAAAATACATACACATACATCTGTAAGTAATAAAAAAATGATAATAACAATAACAATAAAAAGGGGTGATAATGATAATAACTTATATGTATATATGAATAGTAAATAAGCGAAAATAATAATAATACATGTATAAATGTACTAATGACAAAATTGATGATGCTAATAACGATATTAATAACATTAATAATAATAATAATCATAATTTCATTAATGATGATTCATAACAATAGTAGATAAATGATAATAGGTTAGTAACAATAATATAAGTGGTAACCATCCCAACTTCTCGATGTGCCTTTGAGAAGTGAACCCGGATGTGATCAAAACGTTGAATGATCATGAAGCTACCCCTCGGAGCGGATAAAACAAATGATATTAAAATTCGCGTCGTAGCAGCAGCGGAGGTGACAAGTACGCACCTTTACTTTTCTTTACTACGTTCCTTTTTATTGTACTCTACAACATGTTTTACTTGTACATACTATACTTTACAACCTGTTTGATTTAATATACCTGCAAAAGCCCTTAGGGAAGAAAACAATAGATTGGTTGTTTAGGGGGTGCACTACATCAAGCCTTGAGACCCAACAACAACTACATATGAAAATACAAAACATAAACCCTAAACCTCAAGCTATCACGTTACGGAGCTTGGAGCAAACCTTGTGGGCAGCACGATGAGGAGCTCGGAGCAAGATTTAAGCAAGTGGTGGACGGCTTCAATGAACGATCAACACTCAACATGAAGTGGATCAATTCATGAACACATAGAATGTACAGAAGAACATCTTCCATAGAGCAAACACGGTATACATCAACAAAACTTTCTTTAGTTAAACAACAACAAATTTATAGAAATTCGAGGTAGTCCGCCTAGCGCGACATAAATCTTCACATCATTTTTAGGCTCTTGCACAACCATATTGCGCATTATAACTCCTAAATTCTCTTAAAATTCTGAGGTTGTCATTCAATATACAGCTGTAGTGAGAAGGAAAGAAAGACCAGAAAAGCTAAAGCTCATAATAGTATTTTTTCTTACCGTTAACTTTCAAGTACACGTCTTTTATAAGACAAAAAGATACGTCTAGAAAAATGCATAATGTAATGAGTATTGATAACAAAAAAACCAATTGAGATATTATTTGTTGTCCTTTTTTAAGGTTGTCGAGAGCATTCCTTTATGAAAGAATACATCTAAAGATAGCTTCCGGATCTGCTCACATTTTTCAACTATTCTATAACTATTGGTGAAATTTGAGGGGCTACAGGTGGATTTCTTTTGTGTTTAAATTTTAAAATATTCTTAAATAATTATGTATAATAGAAAATTTAACCCCTAAATTTTATTGCAATTATACATATTACAAATCCCCTACATTTGTCACAAATAATTTTCATGCCTTTATTTGAAACATTAGTTATGTCATTATCTATAGTGATGTGGGTTATTCAATATGCATTTTTTTTTCTATTCATATTAATTTTATGTGTAAGAGATGATTTTATAAATCAAGATACATCATCAAAAAATAGTTAGCTTTCGAATAAACTCGTGGTTGGTGTATCAACAACCCCTCATTTATTTTTAGCTTGCATGTTAACATATCTCGGCCTTCTTAGGAGATGGATAAACTTGAGTTATATGATCGGGGAATCATATTTTACATTTAAGAGAAACAATAATATGTATGAATTTCAATATGAGTTTTAGCAAAAGTTTTATTTTAATTACTATATTACGCTCGCATAAATACCAAGAAAAATCGCTTATAGTATTGATTGACTAAGCTCTAGTGGATCGTCGGGTTGCCCGATAATACCTGACAACTTAAAATGCATCCTTAGAATATTTTTACTGAAGTTGATCATACCCCTCAAATACTACTAATGTGTTAAATGCATGATATCATTTTCCCTTTATTATGCATCGAAGCATGCTTATAAGTTAAATGGATGTCTCTTTATAAACTAAAATAAAAGAGAACTTGATGATCACGATTAGCATGCATCAATAGAGATTGATAATGCTCGAATGTGTAGCGTATTGTTTAAAAACAAAAATGATGAATCTCAAAATGTCAGGTTTGAACACTCACCATTCCTGAAAAAAAGATAAGGATTGTGATTCACTACTTTTTTACTGGTGTTCATTTCAGGATTAGTTATCGTAATTAATGAAGTTCTAATTGCGATAGCAGGATTTGAGGAATACGTGATTTGGCGGAGGTGTGGGTGGGGCAGCAAGATGGTTGTAACAGAGAATATAACGATGATGAGAGAGCATATTTGATGTATTTAGATTATGAACATAAATTAGAGATAATATATATAAATATCATATATGTTGGTCATTCATGAATAAAAATACCAAAAATTTATATATGAATTCATTATCATCAATAAATATGTATGTTTGAAAGAATTTTTCAATATATGCTGAATGATAATTAACAAAAATGTTTTTTTTTTCCTTTGGCAAAAAATGCTAATAAGAATTCATATCTTATTTGAATCAATGACTCATTCTCTTCTATCACTTCTCTCTAAGAAAAGATTTGATTAAGAAATTCTTGACAAAGTATTCATGAAAGGGGACTCATAATCATTACCTTTAATAATACATAATCATATGATTTTTAAGCGACTATAAATCACATTTGTCTTAGGATTTGTATCCATAGATCATATGTACTTGACTTTTTATCATTTTATTAGAACAAATATAAGAAAATTATACACATATCATATAATTATTGTCTTAACATATCTACACCTAAAGTTTGAAAGTTATACCTATACCAAATGGAGAAACCAAAATTAAAAGAAGGGCGGAGGGAGTATAGGATATGTAATTAAAAATCAACTAAAAAAAATCAAAATTAATTTTTTATTTTTTAAAACAAAATAAAATAAAAAATAGGATGAAATTAAAAATAGCTTTGAATGAATTATAATGTAAAAAAAACATCTTTTTAAATCTAGTTATTTTAAGGGCGTGTTTGGGGCAGCTTATTTGGTGCGGTGACATTTTGAAAACGCATATTGTCTGTTTGGGTAAATTGTGTTTTGGCAACTTATGCGTTTTTAAAATGCTAAAAACAACGTTTTCACACCACAGCGTTTTCACAACGCAACTATGTAGGTGTGGTGACAGCTTTTTGACTGCGGTCAGACTTTTCAAAAAAAAAAAAAAAAATTTGTAATAGCCACCGCACTAATTTATCAGCAGATTATTTCAATAAACTGCAGTTGGTCCAAACAAACCGTTAATGCACATCTTAACTTGTGTCCAACCCTTCTTCGTTGCATCGAAATTATCAATCATCAATTCTTCAACAAAACCCATTGTAATTCCCTCTTTTAGTATATGTTATCAATGCATTCTAAAAAAAAATCATCTTATAATTTGTTTAATATAACCAATAACGCCTAAATATTATCATCATACACCTAATCCAAATTCAGCTCATCCCGATGTTATAATTTCACCCTATTCGGACTTCAGACTGCTGCAGAGCCCATGTCTTCTGCAACTTCAGAGCCCCTCTCCATCATCATCCAACCAAAGATTACTACAGCAAAGAAACATCCACACCTTCAAAAGTCGAACCTTTGCCTCCTCCACCTCTGCAACCACCTTCGAGAAGCCCAACAAATCCACGCTCTAATGATCAAATCCTCCCAAATCACAGATCCTTACTCCGCCGGCCGGATGTCGGAGTTCTACGCTCTCTCCACCTCCGGCTCCCTCCACGACGCCGAAAAAGTTCTTGAATCACTCCGCCAGCCCCCAATCTTCATCTACAACATAATCATGAGAGGTCATCTTATCAATCGAACTCCACTCAATTCCCTTAAACTCTACCATCAATCCCTCGTTAATTCCATCTACCCCGACCATTTCACCTTCACCTTTGTCCTTAAGGCTTGCACCCACCTGCGCGAGCTTGGAATTGGCAGGCAGCTTCATTCCCATGTTGTCAAGCTCGGGTTTGGTTCAAGCGCCCATATTCGTAACAAGCTCATACATATGTATGCTGTCGTCGGCAGAATGGAGGATGCCCACAAGGTATTCGAGAAAAGTTCTGTTCAAGATGCAGTTGCGTGGAATAGCATGCTGGAGGGCTATGCTTTTAATGGGGATGGCGGCTCCCTTCATCAGTTTTTCCACCGAATGAAGCAACGGGACGTTGTTTCCTGGAATACTGTAATTGCCTTCTTTGTTGAGACTGGTAAATATGAGGAAGCCATGGCTGTGTTTAGGTCGATGCAGGAAAGCAGAGAATGTTTCCCAAATAGAATCACGGTAGTCAGCATTCTGTCTGCAGTAACTCATTTAGGTGCATTGGGTCATGGTAAATGGTTACATGCTTATATTGCCCGGCGCGGCATTGAGCTTGATGAGAACCTTAGCTCTGCTTTGATTAACATGTATTCCAAATGTGGATTCATAGAAGGTGCAGTTCATGTCTTTGAGGCAAAGCAATGGAAGAAGGTGGACAATTGGAACGCCATGATTGCTGGTTTTACTTCAAATGGTCATAGCTTGAAGGCCATTAAACTCTTCTCAGAGATGCTAGCTGCAAGAATGAATCCAAATGAGATATCTTTTGCTTGTGTGCTGAATGCTTGCAGCCATGGTGGTCTTGTTGAAGAAGGAAAGGAGTATTTTAGAAAGATGACGAGTTCTTATGGCCTTAAACCCGATATGGGGCATTACGGGTGTCTGGTTGATCTTTTTAGCCGAGCAGGGTTGTTTGATGAAGCGGAGAAGATGATTGAAGGAATGCCAATGAAGCCTGATGCAGTGATGTGGAAAGCATTGATGGGTGCTTGTAGAATTTATAGGAATTTTGAACTGGGTGAAAAGGCGGGATACAGACTAATTGAAGCAGCTCCAGAAGATCATGCATGCTATGTTCTGCTATCAAACATCTATGCAATGAACCATGACTGGCATGGAGTTCATACGGTGAGGAAGATGATGTTGGACAGAGGGGTGAGGAAGGTACCTGGCTGCAGTTCGATTGAACTAGATGGTGTTTCTCATGAATTTATAGCAGGAAATGCTTCACATGGAAGCAAGAGGGAGCTTTATGAGATGTTGGAAGAGATGGGAAAGAGAGTTTGAGGGTTGCAGGATATGAGCCAGATACTACACAAGTGCTTCTGGATATAGAGGAAGAGGAATTGAAGGAGAGCTCTTTATCTCAGCATAGCGAGAAACTGGCCATAGCCTTTGGATTGGTGAGCACTAGTCCAGGCACAACTCTCAGAGTGGTGAAGAACCTTAGAGTGTGTGGAGATTGCCATTCTGCAATAAAGCTGCTCAGTAAAATCTATGGACGGGATATAATTGTCAGGGATTCAAGCAGGTTTCACTGCTTCAGCAGAGGGTTCTGCTCTTGTGGAGACTATTGGTAACAGCTCTAAGTATTGCACCATTTTTTCTTTATTTTGTTTGGAAGATTACATTCATATCACCCAATAATGTATTTACATAACTAATACCTAAACTTCATTTTTTTACATATATACTATTCTATCTATGCGTGAAAAGTTGTGTTTCACTTTTTAAAAGTTAAAATAGTGATTTTTTATGTAAAATTAAAGATTTGGTTGGTACAAATGTAAAAAGTAAAGTTTACAAGTTAGGCAAGTAAATACAGAAGAATTGGGTGGTGTGTATTTAAATGGAACACACCCTTCTGATGGACTCTCTACCGATATGGATAGGGGGACTTCATACAATTTTATAGTTGCTATAGGAACCCAAAAGCTGTATTCACCACATTCTTCAGAATTTGGAAGGAAAATATTCATTGAGGTTAAGAGTTAATTCTTCATTAAATGAGATGTCTTATTGAACATGTTGCAGTTTTTCTATGTGTTCATGTGCTAACACGATGGAGTTGGAGAATGACACTTGGTTTTATTTCAGGCAATCATGGGAGATGAAAGAGATGAGCATATTATTATTTCTAAGTGTGTGATTTTGTTATTGCTAATACTTTATTTAAAAAAAGAGATGAGCATATTATTACTTATAAAAATGGACTTCTGGATTTTAAGATGAAGATGAAAAGTTGTAAAATAAAGAATACTAGGAACCATTGTCATAGAATTAGATGGGGGCACCTAAAAGACACAAAAAAATTTTTTTTTTTTTTAGTAAACTTCAATATTTGGAGATTTTGGATTTCATGAAGAAGCAAATTCTATGTGAATAAGGAAACAAATATTATTAAACAAGTGGCAAAATTTGTTCTTGGAGAATCAAAAGAAAAAAAAAATTTATAAATAAAAATATTCAGCAATGGAATAAAAATATGAAAATAAAATAAAATATAAAAAGTTATTTATAAAAATTGGTTTAGATATAAAATCTTGGAGAATTGAGAAAATATAAAAATTCTAAGAGAACAATCTGTAACGTTAAAAATTCTAACTTTTAGTGATCTTTATAATAAATTAGATACTAAAGAGAGTGAAAAAATATGTATAAACTAGCCAAACAAAAAGAAAAGAAAATTAAAGATTTAACTCAAGTAAAGTGTATTCTCAAGTTTAAAGATTTAACTCAAGTAAAGTGTATTAAAGATGAAAAATCAAAATATGTTTTTCTTAGAAAAAGATATTTAACATAGATTGGTGAGTTATTTAGATAAACTTTTTAATGAAATTTCTGAAAATACAATCGACTGTATTGATATTAGTGTCTCTAATAATAATAAAATATTTTATTTTTATCGTCTCATTAGTAAAAAAGAAGTTGAGGAAGCTTTAAAAAAAATCAAGGGTGGAAAGTCTGTAAGATCTGATGATATCTCAATTGAAGTGTGGAAATATTTAGGAAATTTGGCAGTTTCTTGGCTTACTAAACTTTTTAATATTATTTTGAAAACTAAAAAGATATGTGAGGAATGAAGGAAGAGTACTTTGGTCCCCATTTTTAAGAATAAAGGAATTCCACAAGAATGTGCAAATTATAAAGGAATTAAGTTGATGTGTCATACATCAAAATTATGTGAGAGGGTAATTGATAATAGGTTAAAACGTATTACAAAGATATCTCATAATCAGTTTGGATTTATGTCAGAAAGGTCTACTATGGAAGCTATACATTTATTGAAAGGTTTGATGGAGAAGTATAAAGTGAATAAGGAGGATATGCATATGATTTTTATTGATTTAGAAAAACTTATGAAAACATTAGAAGAGATATCCTTTGGAGAGTTCTAGAGAAGAAAAGAGTTGATATGACTTATATTCAAGTCATTAAATATATGTATACTATAGTTGTTACTTGTGTTCGAACAAAAGGAGGATTGACCAAATATTTCCCTATTTCCGCTGTATTACATCAGAGATCGACTTTAAGTCCATATCTTTTTGCTTTGGTTTTGGATGCTCTTACTGGACATTTACAAGAGGATGTACCTTGGTATATACTTTTCGCTGATGATATCCCTCTTGTGGATAAGACTAGAGAAGGTGCTTAGGAAAAACTTGAATTATGGAGGTCTACATTGGAGTCCAAAGGCTTTTTTTGAGTAGAAATAAAACTGAATACATGGAATGTAATTTTAGCAGTAGTAACTCTAGTAACAGAGTTTTAACTATGAGGGATCAAATTATTAAAAAGCATGAACGCTTTAGATATCTCAAATCTATTGTTCAAAGTAATGGTGATATAGATGGGGATGTTATTAGAAGAATTCAATGTGGTCTAATTTAGGTTATACCTAAAGGGTTTTAAGTTAAGCATGAGCTAAACCAAATCTGACTAGAACTCGACTTAACCTCAATTGAATGGAGTCCAACTGTGGGTTCACTTTATGTTTAGATTGAATGAGACCCAACCCAAGCCCATACTCAAATTGAGCTAACCCTAAGTCATTAGGGGTATGTCTATTCAAGGAGTTAACCATGTTGTCAAATCCTTAAGACACTATTAGGTTAAGCTCCTATGCTTGGATTAATAATTTAAATTTAGTTTGAGGAACAATATGGACTAAAATGTAATCTTTTATTTTTACAATTTTACCCTTAGCCTCCTAATTTTCATTTTAAGATTTTTAAAGGCGGGAATCATCATTTTAGGGCTTAATTTTATTGTCCTAATTTTCCATGTTAATTTCTATCTTTAATTTTTAATTTTTTGATTTTTTATAATTATTTTTCAAAATAATTATAAATTTGGTAAGAAAGTGATCATTTCAATGTTAGAGAGGTCCCCTGCCCTTGAAAAAATAAAAAAATGTTGCCAAGGGTGGGGGGAATAATATATGAAATTTTTATATTTTTTGGATCTATATTTCATATTTAATCATTAAAATACTCTATGGAGTATTTATTTAATTAAAAATATAATATAATTTAATAATTTTTTATTTTATTTTTATTATTTTCCCCTTATTGAGTTTAGATGTATTTTTATTTTATTTTATGATTTTTCTACATAAAGTTATGCATTTTTGAAGTTGTATTGATATTTTTAGATTTACTTAAATAATAAAATCAAATTTTCCTACTTAACCCAGTCAGCACCATGTCATCATTGGCGCCGTCGAAAGTCCACGCGGTTCGATGTTCCCCCTACTTATTGTCCTGTTTTCCTACTTATTGTCCATGCAGTTAGGCCCAATTTGGATTGTCCCGCTTTCCATATCAGTGTCACGCTGTCCTGCGATTCGATGTTTCTCCCCCTCCACGTTTTGGTGGTCTGACTCGATCCAGACCTTTTGTTTCTAATACAGGAGAACAGACAACATCTGTTTTTCGTCTCCACAGGATAATGAATTGAGAACCGTACATCATCAACTACTAAGATCTCTCTCAATTCTTAGTAAAATCACTCGGGATTTGTTCCTACAACTTCATCTAAGCTAGAAGAACACATTTATACAGTTCAATAAGTATGGTGTACCAAAGCTATTTTTTGAGGATTTTGATCAATATCTTGTCCCAAGATGTGTGACTTTGATTGAGCTTGATAGAGATGATCGACTTGACACCATGAAGCTTCTCCTTATCTCAATTTGAACCAACATTGGCTATAGCTATAAGCTAGACCAAATGGTGGCTCGGGTTGATGTTGGGATGGGTTGGAGGTCCCAGGAAACCCTAATTTGATTTAGGAAGAGTCGTGAAGGTCCTAGGAAGCTTTTAGGATGTTTAAATTTGAGTTTTGGAAGAGTTCATGTCGAGGCTGAAATTTTTCCTGTATTAGGGCTTCCTAATGGTGTTGGTGGCCTTAGGGCATGGGGGATCAACAACCTAGGTCAAGAGGGACTTTTTCTCAGTTGGGAAGCTAGATAGGAATCTTGGTGGTGTTTCAATGCTTTTGGGTTCCCTCTTTAAGTAGCCTTGAGAGGCCATGAAGGAGTTTTAGAATGATGACCAAAGGAAAATATGTTGAGATTTTCATACCTCTTTTATACTGTTTTTAATGATATTACACTTTAAAGAAATGTATTTTTGATGTTTTGTTGCAGAAATGATGAATTAGGGTCAATGGAGCAAAGAGATGCAAAAAGGAGTGAATTTGGAGTAAAAATGACCAAAATGTGGAGAATTGCACTAGGGCGCCGACGGCGCCATCAAGGCCGCCGACGACGAGCTTTTCCCGATGCTACAGGACAAATTCTCCAGAAGGCCACCGACGACGCCAACGAGGCCGCCGACAGCGCCAACGAGGCCGCCGACGGCGGGATCGACGGTTATGTGACACGTAAAATGCATCAGACCGGAT